GGAGTTTAACGATGTTTGCTATGTACAACCTCCTGGTGGCGGAGTTTGACGATGTTTGCTATGTACAACCTCCGGTTAGTGGAGTTTGACGATATTTGCTACAAGCTCCAATTGGTGGAGTTATTTTGATAGAAAATTAACCATCCTATTTCCTACGATGGCCCTCTTTTCTTCAGTATTTGATCTAGATCTTGAGTGTACCTGCAAAGATTTAAACAAAATATATTTAGACGTAAGATGCAAGTTGAAGTACTTCGGGGAAATAAAGTAGGGAAAGAGTATTTTGGCTTATGATTGTGAGAAGTCGAATGGCGTGTCTGGTCATGCCCCAAGACTTGATGTTATTTTCTTGATGCCTGTGTTCCTGCACTCAAAGAAAATTTTAGTTTGGGAGGGGGTGTTGATTTGCATCGACTTGTGGACTGAAGCCTCGTCACTAGAATCCTTCGACACCTCCTCAGTACCGCACATAGTTTCTTAACCTAGAGACTAGGTAAGTGGATGAGTAGAAAGAATATTGTTGAAAATAATTAGCTTGTTTTTCCAAAAATAAGTATACTACGTATATTAGGTGTGTGTGTATATATATATATATATAAATTGTAATTCTCCAGCGTTTTTAGATTATGACATGTTCCGTTGAGCTTTCCATTTTGTTGACTATATCCAACATAGTCCTCTTGTAACTTTTACCCTTCTGATGAAGATTTTCTAACTCTTTTGCAAACACTGCGACGATTAATATTCTTCAACATTCTGAGGTTATGCTAACTATGAGGAAGTGTTTTCTAAGGGTAAGTAAAGAAAAAATAAATAAATAAATAAATTTAAAAAAAATTATGCAATGCATCGATCGAGCCTGACTCAAGCTGCCTACGTATCCCCAAGATAGGAATCAGATCGTAACGTAGTTCGAATACAAAAAGGGAGAAGTAGAAGTATGTAATGCAATGGCCGAGCTTGACTCAAGCTGCCTACATATCCAAGTGGAATCAGGTCGTAACGTAGTTCAAATACAAGAGGAAGTGAAAAATATGAAATGCAATGACCGGGCCTGACTCAGGCTGCCTACGTATCCAAGCGGAATCAGGTCAGGACGTAGTTCAAATACAAAAGGAAAGAGTGAAAAATACAAAGGGGCCGAATCCGACAAGGATTGCCTACGTATCCCACCGAGGGAATTCAGGTCGAGCGTAGTTCTAAATACATGGAAATGATGATTTTGGGTTTTCTAAGAGAGACCGGATCCGATGTGGGTTGCCTACGTACCCCGCCGTGGGAAGTCAGGTCTATACGTAGTTCTGTTACATTGAAAAATGCAAAAGTACACAAAGTAAACGCTAACTTGAGGTCTTCAAATGTAGTATTTCTTGATGGCATCTGAATTGATTGGCTTTGTGCTTACTCTACCGTCCATTTCTGCTAAGATTACCGCTCCTCCTGAGAGCACTCTATGAACTATGTAGGGTCCTTGCCAATTTGGTGCAAATTTCCCTTTGGCTTCTCCTTGGTGAGGAAAGATCTTCTTCAATACTAACTGCCCCGGTGCGAACTGTCGAGGTCTGACTTTCTTGTTGAAGGCTTTGGTCATTCTGTTCTGATAGAGTTGGCCATGACAAATCGCATCCATCCTCTTCTCATCGATGAGCATCAATTGTTCATGTCTGCTACGTATCCATTCAGCATCGTCGAGACCAACCTCTTGGATAATCCTTAAAGACGGTATTTCTACTTCAGCAGGTATTACTGCTTCTGAACCATATACCAACATATAAGGAGTTGCCCCAGTTGATGTTCTGATTGTGGTGCGATAACCGAGCAAAGCATTTGGTAGCTTCTCATGCCATTGCCTATGACTGTCTACTATCTTCCTTAAAATCTTCTTGATATTCTTATTTGCAGCCTCAACTGCTCCATTCTTCTGTGGCCGGTAAACTGTGGAATTTCGATGAGCAATCTTGAACCTTTCACAAGTTTCCTTCATAAGATCACTGTTGAGGTTGGCTGCATTGTCTGTTATGATTGATTCCGGAATTCCAAACCGACAAACTATGTTATTGCGAACAAAGTCTGCCACTACCTTCTTAGTCACTGCCTTGTATGTCGAAGCTTCGACCCATTTCGTGAATTAATCGATAGCCACCAGGATGAAACGATGTCCATTTGACGCGGGAGGCTCTATGGGTCCAATAACATCCATGCCCCAAGCGGCAAATGGCCAAGGGGAACCCATCACATTGAGCTCATTCGGTGGAACCCGTATAAAATCTCCATGCACTTGACACTGATGACACTTTTGCACATACCGAATGCTATCTCTCTCCATGGTCATCCAAAAATATCCAGCTCTTAAAATCTTTTTTGCCAAAGTGAACCCATTCATGTGAGGTCCACATGTTCCTGCATGTATTTCTTCCAAAAGCCTTGTCGCTTCTGCGGCGTCGACACATCTCAGCAATCCTAAATCTGAAGTTCTCCTATACAGGATTTCTCCGTTAAGGAAGAAATGATTGGCCATCCTCCTCAAAGTCCGCTTTTGGTTGCTTGTGGAATTTTCAGGATATTCTTGTGCTTCTATCAATCTTCTAATGTCATAGTACCAGGGTTTTCCATCCAGTTCCTCATCTACATGAAAACAGTATGCATGTTGATCATGTATCTGTATATCGATAGGGTCGATGTAATTCTTGTCTGGGTGTTGAATCATCGAGGACAATGTTGCCAAAGCATCGGCAAACTCATTTTGAGCTCGAGGGACATGTTTGAATTCAATCCTTGTGAATCTCCTACTCAACTCTTTAATGTAGTGCAGATAAGGCAGGATCTTGACATTTTTAGTGGTCCATTCTCCTTGCACCTGGTGAACCAATAAGTCGGAATCTCCTATCACCAAGAGTTCTTTGATGTTCATGTTGATGGCCATCCTGAGTCCGAGAATACAAGCTTCATATTCCGCCATGTTGTTGGTACAATAGAACCTGATTTTGGCTGAGATCGGGTAATATTGACCTGTTTCCGAAATTAGGACTGCTCATATTCCAACTCCAATAGAGTTTGATGCTCCATCAAAGAACATTCTCCATCCATCATATGACTCTGATATGTCTTCTCCTACAAACAAAACCTCTTCATCAGGGAAGTAGGTCATTAGTGGCTTGTAATCCTGGTCCACCGAGTTTTCTGCGAGGTGGTCAGCTAGGGCTTGTCCTTTGATAGCCTTCTGTGTCACATACACAATATCAAACTCACTCAACAAAATTTGCCACTTCGCCAGTTTACCCGTAGGCATGGGCTTCTGAAAGATGTACTTTAGTGGATCCATTCTTGAGATCAAGTAGGTGGTATATGCGGACAGGTAATGCCTAAATTTTTGCGCAATCCAAGTCAAAGCGCAACATGTTCGTTCCAACAACGTGTATCTTGCCTTGTATGGTGTGAACTCTTTGCTCAAATAGTAAATCGCTTACTCTCTTCTACCTGTCTCATCATGCTGCCCCAATACACATCCAAATGCATTATCCATGACAGATAGATACAATAACAAAGGCTTTCCCAGCTCTGGTGGGACCAATACTGGTGGGTTGGACAAGTATTCTTTGATTCTATCGAAGGCCCTTTGGCATTCCTCTGTCCATTTTGTGGCAGCATCCTTCTTCAGTAACTTGAATATAGGTTCGTAGATCACTGTAGATTGAGCTATGAATCGACTGATGTAATTCAGTCTTCCTAAGAAACTCATCAAGTCTTTCCTGGTCTTGGATGGAGGTAGCTCTTGGATTGCCCTTATTTTTGATAGATCCAACTCTATGCCTTTCCTGCTAACGATGAATCCCAATAGTTTTCCCGCTGGTACTCCAAATGCACACTTTGCTGGATTCAACTTCAGATTATACCTACGCAACCTCTCGAAGAACTTTCGTAAGTCATCCAGGTGGTCTGAGCTTCTTTTGGATTTGATAACGACATCATCCACGTACACTTCAATTTCCTTGTGGATCATATCGTGAAAAAGGGTAGTCATGGCCCTCATGTAGGTTGCACCGGCATTTTTGAGACCAAACGACATTACTCTGTAGCAATACACTCCCCATGGAGTGATAAACGCTGTCTTCTCTGCATCATCTTCATCCATCAGGATTTGGTGATATCCCGCAAAGCAGTCGACAAATGATTGTAACTCATGTTTTGCACAATTATCGATGAGTATATGAATATTTGAAAGAGGGAAATCATCCTTAGGACTGGCCCTGTTGAGATCTCGATAGTCCACACATATTCTGATCTTTCCATCCTTTTTTGGCACAGGCACAATATTGGCTAACCATGTGGGGTAATTTGTGACCCTTACAATGTTCGCCTCAATTTGCTTAGTTACCTCCTCCTTGATCCTTAAGCTCAAATCTGGCTTGAATTTTCTTATTTTTTGCTTAACAGGTAGACAAGTGGGATCAATCGGTAATTTGTGCGAGACAATATCAGTGCTCAATCCTGGCATGTCATCATAAGACCAAGCAAATACGTCAACATACTGTTTAAGCAACTCTATTAACTCTTGCTTTCTTTCAGCCTCCAAATGTATGCTGACTCGTGTCTCCTTCACGATTTCCTCATCTCCTAAGTTGACAACCTCTGTTTCATCCATATTGGGTTTCTTCTGACTTTCAACCTGCTCAATCTCGTGTGGCAGGTTTTCAGGAATCATGGCTTTCATCATACTCTTCGTGATCTTGTTCATCATTTTCATCTTGCTCGGTGGATTCATTACATGTCATAACCGTTGAACGAGGATTTTTATTAATATGAGTGCTGAAAAGTGCAAAAGGTAAGTAAAAATAAATAGATATTGAAAATAACGAGATTTTTTAAAAAAAAAAAGAAAATAAAGACTTTTATTTCAAAGCATTCTAACTTTTAGAAGAGGCAAGCAACAAAAGATTGGGCATGATTCGAGCCTCAATTTGACCATGCGAATTTTTAAAAATTAAGACTACTTTTCCACACTACCAGGACTCTGGTTGAAACAGGGACGGGCTGGTGGTCCAATTCTGCAAGATTTCTCCAGGTTCGGCATCACGGATGGTCAACTTGTTAAGATTTATCTCTTCCTCTTCTCCAGCCATGGCCACAAACAAATTGCCTATTCCTTCTACGATGTTATCAACTCCAGCTTGATCTGGAATAGAAGATTGTTCTGGTACAAAGATTGTATCACTTGACCCGTGACAGTCTCTTCTCGAGGTAGGCTCGTATCCTAGTCCGTTGGTGCCTCTCTGATGCTTCAGCTGGATCGGCTCAACTATGCCATTGGACTTGGGTCCAAGTCCATTCTTAGGCTGATACCCATACTTCAACATTTCTGACGCAACCATTTTCGCTGCACTTGACAACTTGGTATCTTCGGGCTCTGCTCCCTCATTAACCCTTATAGCTTGCATGATTTCCAAAGTGTGAAAAGTGGCTCCATCTAACTTGTCGGTGACTGGGATGGAATTAACAGAATGAATGGGGTGACTGAGTTCTCCGTGGATGGTAACTTCTGTGTGACCCCACTCAAACTTTACACATTGATGAAGAGTGGAAGGAACCGCTCTTGCCATGTGAACCCATGGTCTTCCCAACAACAGGTTGTAGTTGGATGATACATCCATCACTTGAAATAGAATAGGGAATTCAGCCGGCCCCACCTGCAATGTGAGATATATCTCTCCGATGACACTTCTTTGCGCTCCATCAAAGGCTCTAACTTTTACACGACTTTCCTTTATCTCTCCCATATTAACACCTAAATCTCTCAAAATGGTGAAAGGACAGATGTTACATCCAGAGCCACCATCAATTAAAACTTGAGTCACAATTTTATCACAACATTTGACTGCGATGTGAAGCGCTTTATTGTGCCCAGCCCCTTCTGCGGGCAACTCATTGTGGTGGAAAGAAATCTTGTTAGCTTCCACTATTCTTCCAATTGTTGCAGCTAAGGTCTCACTTGTGGTCTCTTTTGGAATTATCACTCCGCTTAACACCTCCATCAAAGCATTCCTATGAGCTTCAGAACTCATAAGAAAAGACCAAATTGATATGTAGGTTGGCGTCTTCTTCAACTGTTCTTCAACCGAATAGTCTTTAGACTGCATCTTCTTCCAAAACTCTGCGGCTTCAGCATCGGTAATATTCTTCTTTGGATTCTGTTCTTTCCCGAGAACTCTTTGATTTAGGTCTTCTGGGGCATAGCACCTCCCTGACCTAGTCATCCCTTGAGCCACGGCAGTGTCGATCATTTTGCCCTTGGCACTTGCTCGATAGTCCCAAGGGACTGCTTTGGTGTCATACTCAGGCTTCTTAGCAATTAGACTGGTCACTACAACTCTTGGGAGATATGTTTGGACAGTCAGAGGTTCCCTTAGCTGAACAGTGATAACAGGTTGCGCCGAAGACGTCATGGCATCCGCTTCATCTATGTTTGGATAATCGGGGGTCCCATATTCGTCATCCAGAGTAACCATGTTGACTTCCCGATTCTCATGGTTTGGCAAGGGATTGTTGTTCACATTGGGAGGTGCCGGAGTGCATTTGATTACTCCTCTCCTAATCAAAGACTCAATCTGGTTCTTCAAACCATAAAAATCTTCTGTGTCGTGTCCCTGGACTCCCGAGTGGTAAGCACATCTCTTGTTCCTATCAAAATTACGAGGGATTGAATCAGGAAGTTTTCCTTCAACTGGTTGCAGCACTCCCGCTGTCCTCAACCTCTCAAACAATTGAGCATAGGGCTCAGCAATCGGTGTGTAAGCGCGAGCATTTCTAGCTTCAGGATTTGGACGTGGTCTTGGTGCATATGCTGGTCTATTTTGGTGAATTGGTGCTTGGACAGGGACATATGGTCTTGGAGGGTTTTGGTATGCTGGTGCTCGGGGTGGGTTATGGTGTGGTTGGGTATTATACACTGGGACGTATGAAGTATGCGCAGCGATTTGGGGATTATTGGGGTATCGGTGAGATGGTCCTCCTGGTTGGTAAGTGACAGCTGAGACATCCTCCCTTTTCTTTTTGATGCCGCCAATGGAACCCGATTGTATAGCCCTACTTGCAGCTTGCAATGCGACCATAGACTGAATTTTCCCAGATTTAACACCTTCCTCTATAAAGTCTCCCATCTTGGCCAATTCTGCAAACTTCTGACCCATCATTGACATCATCTTGTCAAAGTAGATACCTTCTTGAGCTCAAATAAAGTACTTCTAGAGCTCACTCTCATCTAGTGGTGGTTGCACCCTCGCGGCCTTAGTTCTCCAACGTCGTGCATACTCCTGGAAATTCTCAGATGGCTTCTTCTGTATATTGGCCAATGAGAATCTGTCAGCAGTAATTTCAGTATTGAATCTGAAACGAGTCATGAAGTCCTCGGCCATTTCCTGCCAGTCACGCCATTTGCGAGGGTCTTGGCGGGTATACCAGGTTAATGCTTCTCCAGACAGACTCCGAATGAACAACTTCATCCTCAACTTCTCATTTCTCCCTACACCGACTAACTTGTCACAGTATGCCCTGAAATGTGCGTGTGGGTCACCTTTTCCATCGAACATGTCAAACTTTGGTGGCTTGTACCCTACCGGCATGTCAATGTCTGGATGAATGCACAAGTCATCATAATCCAGACTCTCTGTCCCTCTAGTGACTTGTAAGCTTTTCAATGCTTTTCTCAGACCCTGAAGCTGGGCATTTATCGACGCGTCTTCTTTCAACCGAGCATCTTTCTCCATTTCTTCATATTGATCGACCTCGTATGGGACATTAACCACAACTGGCATAGTGAAGGTAGGAGCCCCAGCGGTATATACGGGTGGAACATGTGGCTCATAGGGAGCGGCGACATGTGCCCTAAGTATCTGCTGCATTGTAGGTATGGTAGGGTCGCGGTTGGAAAGGTCGGGAACGGTCCTGACTGCGGTTGGAGAAACTGGTGGTACTTGACCGTGAGTAGGAGCGCGTTGAGTTTGTTCTGGCTGATTTGGCATGTCAGCTTTTGCGAAGTAGATAGGCGTCTTGAAAGTAGGGAAAGTGGTAGTCGATAGTTTGGCAAACACCACTGTACATACTGCTGAAGAAAAAGATGAGTACTTTTTTGAAAAAAAAGATTTGGAGTAAAGAGATCAAAATAGGAGAAGAAATTACCTGCAAGCTTGACATGGATACTTTTGACATAACTCATCTTACAGTCCAGCTGAAATCAAATACCTGGAAAACAAGAACAACAATCAAATGTTGTTACGCAACACATGGGGAAGGAAATGGCACACCTTTCAAAGCCGTTGACGACGCAAATGACACAACAATCAAGGAAGTGAACACCGATTATCCATAAGAAGAGAAGAAGGAGCTGAAGGATCCAAAAGGGCAAGAATATTGAAGGGGTGGATTATGAATCTGGAAGTGGGAAAGAGTACTATTTGGTAGGTTTTTTTAGAAAGAGGCGTAATTGTGAGGCTGACAAGTTACACATTTGGGCTTTTGGCATTTTTAATTCTAGTTGTACTATTGCTGATAAATAAAAAGAGCCCAGAGCTCAAAATTAATTTTAAAAAAAAAGATTAGGATGTATTATGGTCGAGAAAGCTTAAACGAGATTAACATTTCAGCCATCTATATATACACCTTCTATATTGTATCCAAATCAAAGCAACAACAAAGGAGATGTATGCCATAAAAAAAAAACAGAAACTTAATCGCACAAAAGTAAGAGACAAACAGATTAATAACACCCATTTTTAATTATCAAAAATCAACCCAAAATTATCGACTAGAGTTTTAACAAAATAAGGGCGAGGTATGGTACCTTTACGGGGGTAGCAAACAGGGCTTCGACGTCAAGATATCCAACTTCAAACTCAAATTTAAACAAATCAAAAACAGAGGATGAAAGATGATCTCACGATCTGTTCCCTGGGTGATTTTGGATCTTTGTTCGCTAATTTCACAATGATTTCGAATGTTTTTCTCTTGGTTTTCGTCCCCCCCCCCCCCCCCCCCGTGAAAGAGAGCCAAAGTTTTCTTTTTTATAGCCGATTCGGAGCCTCTACAATGTTCAAAAAATAAATGATGGAACCTTACACCCATCAAATTAAAGGGACAATAAGCTCAAATCTGATGGTTCTTCACGCCTTTCACCTTTCCAGGCGTAGCAGTGCCGGTGGTGTGGCTTTTGAGGTCTGTTTCGATTCAGAAAAGATGATGGAAGGGACGTAAAGTTGACATGAAGAGGCTATGGTTGATAGCGGATAGGGAGATATATTGAAAACCACCGGAAATTGCCATTTTCCGGTGGTCTGTAGGTAGAAACGTTTGGCAGAGGAAAGGAAAGGTTGATGGGAGATGAAGCGGTGTATCTGGGAAAAGAAGGAAGAACATAGGCGTTGGGATTGTACTATTTTGGGAAAAGAAGAAAGGTCTTATTAATTTGGGTCGTCCGATCGTTTGATCGGACGGTTAAAATAAATTAGAAATTAAAAGGAAAAGTTATATATATATATATATATATATATATATATATATATATATATATATATTGAATAATGGTAAAAGCTTAATTAACTAGGACCATTAGATTTAATCGTAGGGTCAAGATTTAAGCTAAAGAAGCACAATCCATGTGCTCGCCTACGTGGCATACACGGATTGGCCGTTTTAAGAAGACTTGGATTGCCAAATGTGCTCAAATTAAATTCATTTAAATTATAACTACTTCTTTATTAAATAGTCATCATTTATTAAATAAAAAAAAATATTCTATAAGATTAGCTTGTTTGATAAAATTAGTCACTCTTAAAAATTAAATTAATATAAATTAGTAACTCATTAATTAGATAAGCTTTCTAATTTTAATAAATGTACAAAAATATCTATTGCGACAAAAATAAATTATATTTGAACCAAAATAGATTCAATTCTTAAGAAGAACAACATTTATTAAAAAAAATGAGAAAGTAAGTAGTAATATAATATATTTAATTTTTATAAGAAATAACATTTAAGAAATAAATTTATCAAGTCAAATAAATAATTAAAAAAAAATTGTATTCCTATGAAAAATTTCATAACATATATATTTTATTATTATTATTATTATTATTATTATTATTATTATTATTATTATTATTATTACTATAGTTAAATGTGGAGAGCCAAAATTGGGTGTCAACATTGATGTCATTCTAGGTATGGACTAGTTTCATGCCTATTATACATCAATAGATTGTAGAACTCGAGTAGTCAAGTTCTAGTTTCCAATGAACCAGTTATAGAGTTGAAGAGCAGTTCAGCAGTGCCTAAGGGTCATTTTATTTCGTACCTTAAGGCGAGAAAGTTAGTTTCCACGGGGTGTGTCTATCACTTAGTCCGAGTTAATGACTCTAGTGTTGAGATACCTCTTATTCAGTCAGTTCATTAGTAAAAGAGTTTCCAGAAGTTTTTCCAGATGATCTACCTGGAGTCCCTCCTGAGAGAAAAATAGACTTCGATATAGATGTTCTTCCAGATACTCGCCCTATATCTATTCCTCCATATAGAATGGCACCAGCAGAGTTGAAAGAGCTTAAAGAGTAGTTAAAAGATCTCTTAGATAAAGGTTTCATTCGACCAAGTGTCTCACATTGGGGCGCTCCGGTCTTATTTGTGAGAAAGAAAGATGGTTTCCTTAGGATGTGTATAGATTACCATCAGTTGAACAAGGTTCCCATCAATAATAAGTATCCTCTTTCAAGAATTGATGATATTTTCTATCAGCTTGAGGGTGCTTCTTGTTTTTCAAAAATAGACCTCAAATTAGGTTACCATCAGTTGAGGGTAAGGGAATGTGATATTCCAAAGACAGCATTCAGAACCCGTTGTAGTCACTATGAATTTCTAGTCATGTCCTTTGGTTTGACCAATGCGCCTGCAACATTCATGGACCTTATGAATAGAGTATTCAAACCTTATTTAGATATGTTTGTTATCGTCTTCATTGATGACATACTAATTTATTCAAGGAATGAAGAAGATCATGCTAGTCATCTCAGAATAGTTCTCCTGACTTTAAAAGATAGAGAGTTGTATGCCAAGTTCTCTAAGTGTGAGTTTTGGCTTGAGTCTGTGGCATTCTTAGGCCACATTATGTCTAGAGAGGGAATTAAAGTTGATACTCAGAAAATAGAGGCAGTGTATAATTGGCCTAGACCCACATCTTCAACTGATATTATGAGTTTCTTGGGGTTGGTTGGATATTATATAAGATTTGTCGAGGGACTTTCATCTATTTCATCTCCTTTGACCAAGTTGACTAAGAAGACAGTGAAGTTTCAATGGTCTGAAGCTTGTAAGAAAAGCTTTCAGGAAATGAAAAAGAAGTTAACTACTACCCCAGTATTGACCTTACCATAAGGCACAAAAGGCTTTGTTGTTTTTTGTGATGCGTCTAGAGTTGGTTTGGGTTATGTGTTAATGCAGAATGGCAATGTTATAGCTTATGCCTCCAGACAGTTGAAAGATCATGAGAAGAATTATCCAACCCATGACCTAGAGTTGGTTGCGGTAGTATTTTCTTTGAAAATATGGCGCCATTATCTTTATGGTGTTCATGTGGATATGTTCACCGATTACAAGAGTCTTTAGTATGTGTTTAGTCAGAAAGAGCTTAATCTTAGACAGAGGAAGTGGTTAGAATTACTCAAGGATTATGACATGAGTATTCTTTATCACTCAATTAAGGCTAATGTTGTTGTTGATGCCTTGAGCAGGTTATCTATGGGTAGTACCACCCATTTTGAGGAAGATAAGAAAGAGTTAGCAAAAGAGATGCATGGACTTGCACGATTAGGAGTTCGATTAATGGATTCCACAGAAGGAGGAGTAGTGGTGATGAATGAGGTTGAATCCTCATTAGTATCAAAAGTAAAAGAGAAGCAAGACCAAGATCCTATTTTGCTTGAATTAAAGGCAAGTGTTCATAAGCAAAAAGTGATGGCATTTGAACAAGGGGGGAGATGATGTTTTGAGATATCAAGGTAGATTGTGTGATTGATTTCAAGGGTAACTGGGACGATCACCTACCTCTCATTGAGTTTGCTTACAACAATAGATACCACTCTAGCATCTAAATGGCTCCTTACGAAGCTCCCTATGGAAGAAGATGCAGATCTCCTATTGGAGG